GGTCAGCCCACGCTAAGTGATGTAACATCAACGCGAACACAGCACAGTGGGAGGACATGGGAGGGACAATTCATTCTGGCTGTGGAAAGCTGGGAGAGGCTTCACAGCAAAGAGAATAGCTGGGTTGGGCTTTGAAGTGTGAGTACGACTTTGACAGAAATAAAGGGGAAGGGGACGCTGTTTTATAAACCAATGTGATCTGTGGTGCTGAGGCATGGGAAGGCCAGGGCCTGAGAGAGGACTGCAAGGTTAGAACCACAGGCTGAGAGGAGACTGGGTTTGGGGGAGTACCCACGGATGAAGTCCCAGGGAAGTTGGGGCCAGGTTTCCAGGGGGTCTTGAGCTTTGCAATCCTGAGGAAGACTAGGATGAGCAGGAAGGAGCTCCACAGCACAGAAGCCTCAGGAGGAAGGAATTCGAATGGATGGGAAAGCTCTCCTAAATTACAAAACACAAGCGATGGCGATTTATTATTAAAAACAAGAGCAGCAGCAAGCACGTGTCTTAAACGTGGTCAGCCTTCTTGTTAGAAGCAGAAAATCTTGAGTGTTGGGGGCACAGGGATTAGAAGTGATTAGGCTAACTTGTGCCAGAACCTGTTTGCTCCCTGCCAGGGCAGTTGCCACTTTAGCCAGGTGTTCTCAATGCCCTTCACTGGCAACCTCAAACCTTCCTTCTCTGGGATCTCTGGAGGAAGCCACCGGACAGAGACTTTGGTAGTTCCCAATGTCTCTCTCAGTCACTGGCAACATCAGGCGTTGTCGTCGTCAGGGGCACAGCGTTTATCTGATCATCTGGCCATTTGTTTCTTCAGGCTCCGATGTCCCAGTGGCTGAACTCGTGGCTGGCTCGGGCCTCCCTCTGCCCTCCCTGCCTTGGCCGGTGCTTCTCCTCCTGCTTGTTCCCTGGGCCCCACCTCCCTGTTTGCAGCAGCTGTGATCCTACCCAGGGCTGATTCAGATTTGTCTTTCACAACCGCATTGTTGCCTCTCCGGTCCCAGGTCTTCCATTGACCTGCTGTCGCCACACCCAGGCGTGGCACACAAGACAAGAACAAATTACCTTGTGTTTCTGCCTTGAAAACTTTTCTCAATCAGATGCCTTTTTCTGATTATTTTTCTCACTATAGAGAGAGAGGGAATGACAAAGAATGCTTATTTCACTTGCTTAAACCTAACTATATGATTAACTTGATATAGACTGAAAAAAATGATTGATTATATTCTTTAGGAGCATCAGACATGTTTCTTTTTGTTCTGTCATTCTCCTATCCATGAGGATAAAAAGATGTTGGAATAAAAGGCTCTTGCTGAGAGGGTGGTAGTGGTGGTTTTACAATGTGGTTCTGAAAACTAAGAAACCAAAAACATAAAAAACCCTTCGCTCTAAACAAGGTTAAGCATGTGAGCTAAACCAATACCATCTTGTCCTCCTATAAAACGTGGTCTCCCTGCCCTACCTCCTTCCCTTGAAGTTGATCTGTGAAAGATGACTTTCAGCAAATATCATAAATACAACCCCTTCCCAACAGAACACATCATGGCATTCTCCCAAGCCTTCTTAGGCTAAATTCACCTGTTGCCATTAAATCACATTTTCATGTAAAGAAACAAAACTATATCATTTGTAAGAAAAGTCACACAACAGTAAGCCAAGAATATCGAGACTAAGGAAGAAAGACAGCCAATCTGGATTTTTCTATTGTCAGAGCCCAAGCTCAACAAATCTGATTGTGTTTAGAACGTGGCAATATCTTCAAATCTCTAAGTCCCAGAGCAAACCCTTTTATACAATTAGACCCTGTGTCTTTCAAAGTTTTCTGTAAGGCTGGGTCCAGTCTATGACTTGAAGTCTTTGCTTTTCTAACCTTCACCCAGGCAGAGGGCAACCAGACAGTGAGAGGACATACAACAGAAATGATGGCAGAGAAGGATGATTTATTCTTAAATTATTACAATAGGATAACCTATTATGAAATTAATCGTGCCCTGCTTTCAGTGCAGCAGACACCTCAATGAAGGACAAAAGGTCATTTCCTTCCCCCACACAGACCCCCACCCCCATCCCTAGGATGGTTTTGCCTTTGTTTTTGAAAAGTCTGGGAGGGTCTCAAACTCTAACATGAATAAAAGTCACATGGAGGGCTAGTTACAATGGATATTTCTGGGTCCCTCTCTGGACTTACCAATTAAATTTCTGGGGATGGGGCCTGGGAGCCACATTTTTAACAAATTCCCTAGGAAATTCTGATCCAAGTGGTTTTAGGAACACTTTTTGAGAAACACTAGGTCAAAAGACAATCAAACTGGAATACTTGGGTGTGGGAAGCAGGCGAGCCAAGGCTCCAGAGAAGAGGACCAGAACATGGCAGGCTCCTGGCCCACTTAGGGAGCTGGGTCTTCATCTCAGGGGCAGGCAGGGGCCACTGCAGGGCCCTATGCAGGGCTGTGACATGGTAAGCTTTGCATTGAACACGCCTCTCCTTTTATCCTTCAGCTCATAGCTCTTGTGTCCCCCTCTCTAAGGGCCTTCTCTGCCCTCCACCCGGTAGTCCTAGACCAGGAGAGCTTCCTGCTCCTCTGTGCCCGTTATTAGCCTGTGCGTACCCCTCACTCATCACTGACCATGTCGTACCGACGTTGTCGGTTCTCTTGTGTTATTGTTCTAATCCCCTCCCCCTCGCCCCCTCCTGCCACCCCAGGAAGCTTCTGCAGGCAAGGAAGTGACTTGTGCATCACCTGGCATACAGTAGGTGGCCTTTAAATGTTTAATCAAGCAGACTTGTGTTCCACTTATAACCGTGTCACCACCAAACCATCCTGGTTTTTCATGTAGAAAGCAACTTCACAGCCCGCCCCTCCTTGCTCACCTGGCCAAGAATGCTTCCTATCTAGCTGAGAAACTGGGCCCTATTTCTAAACCTCTCATTTACCAGACAATATTAGCCTTAAAGAATGACTCAGAATGAAACATCAGATGGCCGAAGTTTGCATCATATCGTCACGAAGTTAATCCATTTATATTTTTATGTTTCAGAAAGATGTAAAGCTCTCAACTCTCCAAAGTCCACGTGGGTAGGCCAAGCCCCTCAAAGGAATTTAAGGCACAGGAAAATGTACCAGCCAGTGATTACAGCGTGAAAGCACGTGGTGTCCAGAGTCTTTCAAATCCTAAAAGCAAAACACCTGGGGTCTGTTCTAGACTTGCACCCGACCCCCCTCCCACCCTCAGCTCCAAACACCTGTTTCAAGTTGACCAGCACCTCCCACTCAAGGGCACATGTAAGGAAGAGGCAACGAGAATTTTAAATTCTGAAATTAGTCTACAAAGCAAGCAAGAAACCTATGAACTAGAGGTCACAAGGATCACCCCTGTGACCTCCCCTATGAGACTCCCCTTCATTCTCAGAGAAGAAAACTGTGACGTCAGGTGGGGTGATATCACATGACAAAACCTTGACTAGCTGGTACCTTCTTGGGTTTACCTGCAGCCTGTGCATGCGCAGTTGTTCCCATCAGAGAAGCTGGCGCCTCAAAGAGTTGACCTTGTAGCCTGGGTTCTTTCAGCTTGCTCTTTGTCACCGTCACCGAGGGCAGCTCTGATTTAAGGACATGCAAATCAGTCCCGGGGGGTTGGCATGAGGCTTGGAGGCACCTCAGCGAGCAGCCTGCAGGCGGTCGGGACACCCCAGCGTCTGAGGCCCCCTTGATAAATGGCTCCGGAGGTCGCCTTCCACAGATCGCACGGAAGGTCTCTGTTTCCAAGCCCCAAACCATGACCAAGTCCATCACCAACTCGGCCCGGGGTGTCGGGGGCCCCGCCTCGGCCTGGCGTGGAGCGCGGGCGCTGGCCGGCGCGCACCTGGCCCTCCGAGGGACGGCCGCGGGGGAGCCGCCGGCCTGGCCCCGGGCGCTCGGGCCCGTGCAGCCGCCGCCCTCGGCCTCGCCCTCGCCGCGGGTCGGCGAGGGGCCCGGCCCGGGCTCCCCGTGCGCGCTCCGCACACCTGCGCCCCGCCAGGTTCTTAGGCGGCGCCCGTGCGGCTGGCGGGCAGCCGCGGCGGGACGGAGCCCAGGCCATGGGAGGCACCCAGGAGCTCCGGCAGGACCCGCGGGGTGAGCGCGAGGGGCGGTCGGGGGGCTCTGGCCGCACAGCCGGGGTGTCAGCCGGCGCTGGAGCTTGGGGGGCCGAGGGCCTAGGGTGGGCCGGGGCCAGGGGCGCCCCGCACCGCGCAGTCCGTCCTTCGGGTTCCGATTTTCTCCACCGGGAGGAGAAAACGCAGGACCAGGAGTGCCAGGACCACTCCGGTCTAGGTTCTGACACCCCTCACCTTTCTTACCTGGGCGCAGTTATTACTGGGATACGTCGCTTTTATTGAGCACCTGCTGTGTACCATTTGCTAGGCTACAAGCTCTTCTGAAATGCTGTGGGAATCTGGCCCTCCTTCCCCATACCGACACCCAACTGTGCCCCCTCACCCTCTTCTGCAGCTTCAGGCCCCTCCTGCCAGTCAGGTCTAATGTGTACCCTGGGAAACAATTTGACTAAGCACCTTGGCCCAGGACCGTCCATCTTTCTGTACACATCGTTAGAAAGTCATTCCTTAAGAATCTCATGCAATTTTCATTAAAATAACAATACCGCTTAGTCACTGGTTAGCATCCATTTAAAAAGATTCCAATTTCCTTGGAAATGATAAAGCAGCTCCTTGAGGCGAGCATTCTGGGGTGGTGAATAAGTGGGGAGGTGAACTGGAGAGGGTTTGGTGAGCCTGGGAAGCAGTCTGGGTAGTGGTTGAGAGCGCTGTGTTGTGTGATAGGGGGCAAATTACTCAACTTTCTACTCCATATTTCTCCATCTGTTAGAATGAGATGATAATAATGACTGCTCAGGGATTGAATGCACACTGTACTAAGCTTTGAGAGGTGCTTAGCACAGTGCCCGGGATATGGTAAACTCCTGATGAACCAGCCATAGCTCAAAGAAAGAGACAAGCTCGGAGGATGAGTGATAAGGGCCTTTCAGTGCCAGCTGGGCCTCTTGTGTGTAGCTGTACAAGAGGGCCGGCCTGGCCAAGGCCCCTGAGTGAGCCTCCGTTTTGCAGGGAGGCAGGTGGGGATGGACACGGGGATGAGGAGGGTTGTCAGGGACACAGTGAGCTCTGGAAAGTGAGGATGCCCGTGCCTGTTAGCTCCTTTGATGTCCTTGCCTAGCCTTCTGGACACCATCCAATCTGGCCTTGTCCCTACTCTAAGCAAGACTGTCTTTGTCTGCACCAGGACCCTAGATCCGGTCTGAGCAAAATCAGAATCTCAGTCTCTCTCTCTCTTTTCCAAGTCCACCCCCAATCCCAACATTTGTTGCTTAGAAAGGCCTAACCAGACGCCTGTTCCTCAGACTCCCATTTCCAGTGTCTGGGAAAAAACAGGAACTAGGAGAGAGTGAGTGTTCCCCCAATTAGGATTGCTCACCTACTGTCTATGTACGTATGCAACCCCTCATGGTTGCATATATATACATACATTTTTCAAAGCAATTGGATTATCTAATTTGATCCTCACAATAGCCACGTTAGGAAGGTAAGCCTGGAAGTATTACCCCATTTGATAAGTGGACAAAGTAAAGCTTAAGATCAAACAGGAGACCCGTTGTAGAGCAGAAAGTGGCATATCCTCTTTGTCCAGGCTCTTCCTTCTCCCTGGTGTTAAGGTGAGTGGCTGCTGGCTTTCCACAGGCCAGGAAGGTGGAGGCGAGCCCCTGGCTGCTGGGCTGAAGGAGGAGGAACCATGGCTGAGTTCAGCCCCCGACTCTCAGGATGCCCCGAGTGAGGAACCGCCCCTCTCCTGCGCTGTCTCTGGGGAGAAGCAGCCGTCAGAGGTCCCTGGAGAACTAACGGGGGCTGATGCTGGGAGAGTGTGCCAGCCCCCCGGCTCGGGGGCTGTCCACAAAGACAGAACTCTGGTCCCACCTAGATCCCAGCCCCAGGGGGAGGGTTGCTCCCTCCTGGTGAGAGAGGTGAAGCCAGGGAAGAGGTCCTGCTCTCCAGCCCCCAGTAAGCAGAAAAAGCCTAATGCCATGGGTCTGGCCTCCACGTCATCTCCTGGTGTCACTAACTCAGCCCATGCCACACACAACCCAGTGCCTTGTGGGTCAGGCCGGGGGCCCTGCCATCTGGCCAACCTCCTCAGCACATTGGCCCAGAACAGCCACAACACAGACCAGAAGAAGAGGCCCCCGGAAGTGACCTGCCAAGTTCGGAAAAAGACTCGAACCCTATACCGCTCAGGTAAGTCCCTGAGGGTGAGAGGACACCTGAGAGATCTGGTGTCATCTCTGGGAAAGGCGGGCTGCACAGAGAACATAGCCCCAGGAGACTGGAGTGTGGTTAGTATGTATACCACCTTGTCCTGGATTCTTTCTTGACCTGTGGCAGGGCCATGACCTCTGACCCTCAGAGGGGAAGGTTAGGTTGCCTATCAGAAAGTGACATTGGGACCAGGTTCGTTCCCTGCCACAAAGCCCAAAAGAGAGAGGCCCCAGCCCAATGGAGAATTTAGTTACAAGGCTCTGGGAAGGCCCTTGGGTTGGAGACAGTGGTCCCATCCTGAAGGCATTTGTCTTTTTTCTCTGCTGCTGCATCATTGGTGTTCTCATTCGAGTTTTTTCTTCCAGACCAGTTGGAGGAGCTAGAAAGGATCTTCCAAGAAGACCACTACCCAGACAGTGATAAGCGCCGGGAGATCGCCCAGACAGTGGGGGTCACTCCCCAGCGCATCATGGTAATGGGGGCTGGCACACTCTCCCAGAATCCACCACCTGGAACTCTCAAAGAGCAGAGCATGTGCCAACATCCCCGTGAATAGGGGTGAAGTGAGGTCTTGGATCTGGCTGTGTTCTAGCCTGTGTCCACACAGCTACAGCCTTAGACTATGAGAAGAGGAAAGTACCTGAGAAGCCATCTAGATGAACCTTTTTATAAAACTGATCTGACCGAGAGGCATCTGAAGCAAAGTGGTGGTGACCTCCTGAAGTCATGGAGCTCACTCCGTGACAGTCAGGACCTGACTCTTAGTCTCTGCCCCATTTCTCAAGCTCTTCTTGTCTCTCCCCTGCAGGTGTGGTTCCAGAATCGCCGGGCAAAGTGGCGAAAAGTGGAGAAACTGAATGGGAAGGAGAATAATGACAATCCTGCAGGCCCTGCCCCCACTCCTGCCCGCAGTCAGTTCAGGTAAGAATTTCTCTTCTTCCTGGATCCTCGCCATAGGTAGGAAGTGGGGTCTAACTGGGATCCTGGGGTCTAAGAGAGAACATTGGAAGGCTGGGCGTGAAGCCTGGAGTTGTTGGCTAATATTTAGTGAGATTTGGGGTAGATGGGGTCAGGAGGTTGCTGGTGCTTCGGAGGGAGGCAGAGTCTGGGAATAGGGCATCCTTTCCCTGCACTGAGGCTGTGGTCTAAATCCAGGGGCCACTCGAGCTAGAATCTTCATTCTCTTTGCCTCCAGTTCTGCAGCTGAGCTGCCACCTACTGTGCCTATGGACCCAGAGCCTGGTACCTTCCCTCAAGTGCCCCCTCTGGATACTCTCCCAGGTGAGCTGACCATTCTGAGGATTATCTGAGGAATATGGCAGCTAGGAAGACAGCAAAGACAGAGGGTCCTCTCTCGATAGATGTGGGAGTGGGCGAAAGCTTTCTACTGTTTTGGTCCATGGGGGCCTATTCTGGGGGACCTGGGCATGGCACTTCTACTATCCAGCAATCCCAAATCTGCCTCCCCATTTTCTTACTCTTACAATGCCTCTTTGACTTCTGTTCCTAGAGCCCCCCTTTCTGCTGACGTCTGACCAAACTTTGGCCCCAAGCCAACTGAGTGAGGGTACTCAGAAGGTGGCAGTGACCCCACCACTCTTCAGCCCTCCACCAGTTCAAAGAGCCAACCTTCCTTTTCCCCTTGGCCCTGTCCACACCCCTCAACTGATGCCTCTGCTGCTGGATACTCCTGGCAGTGACAGCAGCCACAAGAATGGCCCCTGTGGGTCCTGGGGGACAAGGTATAGAACCTAATGGGGATGGTCACTTGAGTTATCTTGGGAGGGGTATAGAAGGAGAAAAGACAGATGAAGCTTGGGAGGGGAAATGGTTAGCTGAGGAAGCAGGGAGTAGTAAATGCAATGAGGATTCAAAGGATAAGTGGATTTAGGATGGGAAGGATCCAGGCTATCACAGCAATAGAGCAGGAATGAGGGTGAGAAGCCAGGAGCAGGAAGAGGACGAAGAAGAGGCAGCAAGTCTGGGGTCCTGGAGATGGGGAGAGGTGAGGGGAAGGGACTCACCCACTGTGTGGGAGGAATGAGGAGACTACCCCTGAGCCTCATGAAATACTCCTCTGTTCCCCACAGTGTCACGCCACCACCCACCTGCTCATACTTGGAAGAGCTGGAACTCCAGGATTACCAACCAAGCAACCAACCGGGACTGTTCCAGTTCCCCCAGGCGCCACAGCCCCAGTTTCCATACCTGCATCCCTTCCCCTTCCACATGCCCAGTTCAATGACACCTCCACTGCTGGAAGACTCTCTCTTTACGTTGCCTTATGGCTCCAATGGGGGTACAACACAGGGCTACTTCCCAGGCCTGCCATCAGGGCAGATCCTGCTGCAGCCACCTGCTGGGAATATGAGTGAGTTGGGGCTGGAAGAGAAGGTGCCCTTTGTGATTGAGGAAGGTGGGAAGGGACAGAGAGCCTCATTCGCTGGAGGGAAGGCTGAGGCATGGCATGGTGGTGAGAGAATCACTTTTCCTTGCCCCTGGTTGTCTTGACGAAGCTCTCCTTCCTCAAATTTCCTGGAGGCTGCAAAGCAGAGTGAGAATCAGCAAGACAGCTTTGGAGTGAGGAAAACCGAAGGGTGAGGTCCAGCTCAGCGGTTACTAGCTCTCCGGAGTCTGTTTCCTGGACTCTGAAATGGGAATAATATTCCTATATCCTAGAGGGATTTGGTGAGGATTAGAAACAATATGAATGAAGTACTTGGCACAATGAAGTAGATGGCAGCAATATTAATATTCTGACGGGCCACTCGGATCTCTGCAATTCTGGAAGCAACCATCTTCTTAAGAGTAAATTCCAGTAGACAGGGAAGAAAGAGGTGTCTAGTTGGTTCCTGGTCTCCTTGTTGCCTGTGTGAGAGGGCACTTGGCCTGACCCGTGGTCTACTTTGTGTGACTGTTCCAAAACCACAGGGCCTCGAGTCAGGAGCATGCCTGGTCCTGAAGAGGCACCTGGTGCTAGTATTTCGTGCAGACTTGCATGGGGTCCTAACCTATGTTTCTGTGGGGCAGGGAGGGAGCTCTGTCACAGAACATGTTGAATTGGGGCTGATATCCTTAATCCTGTCTAATCTTTCCTATGCTCTTTGACCGCACAGGTACAGTCCCGTGGAATGACCCCTGCTTGCCAGAACTGCCCTTCCCGGGTGCTTTCTGTCCACCAGCTCTGGGGCACCCCCCGGGAGGCAATGGCTTCTTCCCCGATCTGTTTCCGGCTCCCTGTGCTCAGGCTACGAGCAGGCAGCCTTCTCCAGGTCTCACCCCGCTGCCTGAAGGGACGAGATCAGGAACTGGGCCCTTACCCAGCAAGGCACAAGAGGAACAGGCTGCCGCCTCTGGGGAGCAGCCCTCAGCCCCCAAGGAGGTTCAAGAGGAAGACACGAACAGCCATGCCCCCTAGCTGTGGGGCGGAGGAGAGAAGAGGCTGCTCCATGAGAGAGTGTTGGGGTGCCACTGGGGAGATGGCAGTTGACGTGTTAGGAAAGACAGTGGACTTTGTTACCTGGGGTGAAAGTCGGCTGTTTTCCCCTGTGTAGGCTCATCTTCCTGGACACTGATTGGAGAAGGAAGAGGGCTGGCCCTGCCCTTTTCTTCACACCTCTGTATGGTGGTCCTGAAGACAGAGGATGGCTATATTCTGAATGTTGTTATCAGTTTGTGTTGTTTTTTTTCCTTGCTAGGCAAATGAGCCAAAGTGTCCACTGTAAGCAATAAACTAGTGTACTCTTTGGTTTCTCTCTGAATAATGTGTCTTCTCACTCACACAAAGCTCCATTTCCTTCATTGCCTTCCACTCAGCTGACTGGTTGTTGGATGTAGTCCTGGGCGTCCCATGTGAGGTGTCCATTGGGCATGATCATGTGGAGCCTGGCATCCTCCCTGGGCCCATCTCCTGCTAGAGGAGGAATTGGGCATCTTGGGCCTTGCCTTCAGTCTTGCCTTTAAACCATATTCCCAAACTCAGAACTGGACCTGAGCAAATCCGAGCCTGGGCCTCTCTGGAATTTCGCCCTGTAGGGATAGGAGTATAAAAGAAGCCTGAGGATATTTTAAGTCAAGTCTCTAGTGTCTGAACCATGACTTATTTCCTCAAAGCTCTTCGCTGCCGGTTGGGGTAGGAATGAGAAGTAGGAGAACCAAGAGGAAGATGCTCTCATATATATATATATTTAGCACCCCACGCCTGATGAGCCTACATCACCCAAATAGCTAGGATTGAGGGCTGTCCACCTAAACCATTTCGCTGTGCATTTAGGGGGTATGTGTGTGGGGGTGCCATTGTGGACCTCCAAATGCTATGATTATTGGAAAGAACATTTTTCAAAAATGTTTATCATAAGCAATTATAAACTTATATCCATCATAACAGTTCTAGGGTCATAACCCCCAAGAACCAAAAAGGAAAAATAATTGGAAATGGAGAATAAACTTCTTAGACAAATACACACGTCCATTTATCTGTGGAGGGTTTTATAGACCAACACTATTTAGTAGCTCAGCTCTAGTACTCTAGCCATCATCTCTCATTGCTACTCAAGGATTGTAATAGCCAGACTTAATTTAGGGATTAGAATATATACATTAAAATATTAAATGTATTATGACCCATAACTGGGTCTTTTAAAGCATACATTTCACATATCTTTTCACATTCTGTCTCATGATTCCCACAAAATGAGCAGCCTAAAAGGAGACATAGGGGGAAAATGTGGAAGACGATAACTTCAATTACACGCCAGTGTTCCTCTCTGTCACCACAACATTTTGTTGCTTTCAAAACTCTGTGAGGAGGCTGGATGCTTACTCCTCCAGCTCTTAATTGGTTCAGGTTCCTGCCACTCAGATTATTAGCACCCCAGTATGGAGCAAATGCAACAGTGTAGCCATCTAAAGCCAAGAATTGAAGGGCGATGGCACTTGAAGGTCTGTGCTTACATGCAACACTCAGATAAAAAGTCCTAGACAATCTTATAGTGTATACCAAAAACAAAATGAGTTAATTGAGAATTAAGAATGAATGATAGACCAAACAAAGAGAAAATGGTGCAGACATCTTAGAAGCATAGCATCCTATAGGGGGAAGAAAGCTCACAGGCTAACAAGTGCAAGCTCCTGACAAATGCAGGAGTTGCTGCAGGTGGAGGTGAAGGATCCTTCAGTCTTGATTTTCCAGTGGGGGCTGCAGAGGAGGGGGTGGCTAACCCTTACACAAAAGCCTATAGAATTTCTGAAAGCTTTAATTATTTTAAAGTTCTTCCTTCTACTAGGAGGAAGTCAATATTGTTTAATTGATCTGAGTTTTGCTTTCCGTGTGCTACAAAGAATAAACCTCATATTGTAAAGTCATTTCTCAAAGCCTTGCCCTCGTGTGGCTCCGTCTCCAGGCTCTTTACCACTCTAGAGACCTCTTTTGAAATGAAGATGAGCTTATGGATGTCTCTTGTAGGAGTGGTGCCAGAACTGAAACTTACTTTGAATGCAGTCTGGTCAACTGCCTTGTACCGTGTGACTGTCACCTCCGTCAAATAGGACACCCTCTTCTCTTAATGGGTTTTGAGAGGAATTGGCTTTATTTTTTGCAGCCAGTTCATATTCTTGGCCCAAAACAAACTTATTGTCAGCTATGACCCCTAGATCATTTAATAGAAACTATTTTAAAGACAGTATCTCTCATTTTGTATTTGGAGAATTGACATTTTGAATCTAAATATACAAAAATTTATATCACTTGTTCAGTTTCATTTGGTTAATTTTAGCCCATTATTGAGCTTGCTAAATGGTTTGGAGTCCTTATATAACATTCGCCATTTTTTGCAATTTTGTTCTCTCTGCAAAATTTCTTTTTTTTTGAGGAAGATTAGCCCTGAGCTAACTGCTGCCAATCCTCCTCTTTTCGCTGAGGAAGACTGGCCCTGAGCTAACATCCATGCCCATCTTCCTCTACTTTATACGTCGGACACCTACCACGGCATGGCATGCCAAGGGGTGCTATGTCCACACCGGGGATCCAAACCGGCGAAGCCCGGGCCCCCGAAGCAGAACGTGTGCACTTAACCACTGCCCCACCAGGCCGGCCCCCATCTCTCTGCAAGTTTGATCAGTATGTTTTATACATTTTATAGTCAAATAGCTGATAATTAGTAAACAGAATACAAGCATACAACATTTTGGCATCCTTCCTTGAAAATACTCCATTAACGAGCACTTTTTTGAGTAGAGAGTCAAACTAGCTAAAAATCCTCCAACAACATTATCATTCAGGGCCATTCTTTGCCATCTCCAGGATTTTGGAAAAGGATTTTGGTAAAAAAAAACCTTTGCTGTATGACTCACTGAAATAAAAAAATGTTCTCTTTATTGTACTCTAATAATTTCATCTTCTTGTAAACCTAAACGTAATAAATGAGCTTAGCTCAGCATGGCTTATTCTTAGGGAACGCCTATTGTCTTTTATGATAATTTGTAATCCAAATATTCACAAAACATCTTTCAATAATCTCTTCTAGAAATTTGTGAGAATTTTACATTAAATTTATTCTCCTTTCATTTCTACAAATCATCTCTTTGAAAATTACAAAAGTTGCCTCTATTAAATCTTAGAGATCTGTTCTGCTCTGAAAAAAAAAAAAGAATTATTTAAATCAGCTATAAGACTCTTGTTTGGGTTTTAAGACCATCGATTTTCGTCCAACCCTTTTCATTCCTAGACTATTTTCCTTTCTGGAGAAGACAGGCTACAATACGAGTCAAGTGCGTCTGCTCTCTCTGTATTGTATGTTGACATTATAACGTCTGCTGACATCATAACGTCTGCCATGAGAAGTACATTTCTCTTTTCCCTGTCCTTTCTGTTCCAAGTTTGGTTCTATTGTCATCACCGCTAGTGTTACTGTTAGTATTGGTCTTTAGCATGTGTTGCAGCGTGAATTTTTTCTGGGCTTCGCACTTTGAGATATTATTCTTGGAAGTCCAAATGTGCCTCCTTTTAACTTTCACACCTTTTCAGCCCTTTTAAAATCTGAGCTTGTAGCCACATTGTTACCTTTTGGACGACTCCTTTCGTTCCTCATTATAATTGGGGTTACATCTGTAGAACTTCACTTTGGATAGTTCCACATCCCTCTGCACCAGCCTCATTTGGAGGATGGGGAGCTTCTCACACATAGCTCTCGCTTTTGTTTTGGCTTTGGTTAAAGTGAGGGAGCCAAGTCTCTGCACGCTGGAGAGCCACGGTCAGGCCATTCCTCTCATCGGATCTCAGGGCAAGCACATTTCAGCACTCCTCCCACCTCCCCTCTCCCCCTCCCCCCATCCTCTTGATATCATGGCTCTCTCAACAGTGCATTCTCTGGGGTTTGCAGTTGGCAGGGCCAGAATCCTCCCTTGCAAAAATCTATCCCTCCAACTTAAGCTTCCACTATCACAATTTGTCCACTAGATGGCAATCTACCACTACTTTCACTGCAGCCTTAAACTACTCTGTTTACAGTAAGAAAGTTCACGCTAATTCTTTCTCCAAAACGCCCTAGAGCCACTAATATCAGGTTCAAAGATACTAAAGTCATTTGGTTTGTACCTTTATTTGCCAGATAAAGTATAGGATGTCTAGTTAAATTTGAATTGTACATAAACAACAAATAATTTTTTAGGATAAGTATGCTTTCTGCAATATTTGGGTGTCCTGTATTTTGATTTGCTAAATCTGGCAACCCTAATTGTAGCGCTCTGCTAAGGACGCCACATCCATGATGACTTTGTGATTCAGACAGAGATCATCCAGGAGTTCGCCTCTGTATCTCTACTCAACTTCCTTGCAGTTTAGGCTCCTGAGCAGTCCTGGGTTCATCGCATAAAGCCAGTTCATTCGGTACTCCCCTCCCTCCTGCAATTATAACCCTCCATACAGGCTCCACGCTTGTCTAAAAAAATGCTCTGAAATCTGTTGGATTCGTATTATATTTTCTGTTCCTGTTAGCTAAATTTTTTATATTGGTTATTTATATATTTCTGAGATAGTCCATTAGAATTTATTTTTAAAATGTATATTTTAACATCATTTTCATAAAAAGAACACAGGAAAACAGGCTGCAAAAGATAATTTGGCCTTTGTTGATTCCACTCCAAGTCTTAAATGGTCTTGATTAATTAAGAATAAGTCTGACTTCCTGGAAGTGAGGTGTCTCCTTCATTCACCCGGAAGTGGTATTATTTTAGTTCAAGAGATAGTTTAGGAGATTTAGGTTTTTTATGTTTGTGTTTTAGTTTATACTGTTCTTTCAAAAATGCCCCCTCGCTTGAATTTCATAACAAAGTCCTGAGAAATAAAGGCAGACATTCATTCTGCCATTTGGTGGGGATTTACAGGCACCCACCATACTGAGTGCACACAAAGATAAATAAAAAGTCTTTCCAGCTTTCAGGGAACTGTCAATCTTGTGGGGGAGTCTGACGGCACAAATGACCAGTTACAACACAGATGGCAATGCTGCGCAGGGCCAGCCGTGAGTACAAAGTGTGACAGAAGTCCAAAACTTGGAGCAGCCATATCTGCGGGGGCTAAGGAAGCTTTGGAGCTCGAGGCATTACTCATGAAGCAAGAGTAGAATTTGGAAAAGCAGAGAAGGCAAGCAAAGGTATTTCAGGAAGAAGGTGGAGTGAATGCGAGTCCACTGACACTGGAAAGATGCTGAGGGACAAGTTCA